CCGTCAGCTGCTGGAAAAACGGGATGGCCACGGCCATCGTGAGGTGGGGCCGGTACTTCCTCTGCAGTAGGTTCCGCCACGGGTGCTCAACTTTCTTCGACTCCTCGCTGGCGGCGACGAGGTCGTTGAACTCCTCGTCGACATTCGAGAGGCCTCGGATCCTCTGGAGCCTCGACCGGGCCGCCTCGTGCTGGCCGCGCTCGATCATGGAGTTGGGGGTCTCCGGGAGGACGAGGGAGCCGACGGTGATGATGAGGGCTGGGACCACCGCGCCGCCGAGGCTGAGCCGCCAGCCCCAGCCGCCGCGGATCTTGGCGAAGCCGTAGTTGAGGACGTTGGCGGCGAGGATGCCGATTGTGATTGACAGCTGGAAGCCGATGTTGAGGGCCCCACGGTACTTGTATGGGGCCATCTCGGATAGATACAACGGCACGGCCTGCACAGGCAAAACAAAAGGATTTATTAATTATAGATTAGATCTGAACTACTTACCAGCAAAAAGGACAAAATAAAAAGCAGAAAATTCATTTTTCCAGCTGGGCTCACCTGATTGGCGAACCCAATTCCAAAACCCAGCAAAATCCGGCCCAATATCAACATCCACACCCCACGCGCGAACCCGTTGATCAACGCGCCGGCGCAGAACAGCACGCCGCCGAACAGCATCGACAGCTTCCGGCCGAGCCGCCTCGTCACCGTCGACGCCGCCAGCGAGGAGAGGAGCGCCGCCAGGTAGAGCGACGACGTGAACATTGTCAGCGTCTCGCTGTCGAACTTGCAGTACTGACTCGTCGAGTCGTCGGCCATCTGTTTCCGGTACACCGACGGGAAGAACCGCTCGAGAAACGAGTCCATCGACGTAACACCACCTGCCGCCCAAACGCGCCCTTAGTCCCCCAGATCCAGTTTTTGGAACATAAAATTGAAACAAAATGATTTTGAATTGAAACGTGATTTTTGGTAAAGATCGAACCTGAAATTCCGATGTCGTAGCCGAAAATGAGGCCGCCCATGGCCGCGATGATGCAGGTGACAACGACGTAAGGGGTTAGGTTGCCGGGATATGCCTTTCCGGCGCCGGGGCCAGGGCCAAAACCGCCGCCCGCCATTTTTTTTTTGGCTAGTGGGAAAAAAAATGTGTGTTGTGCGTGTTAATTTGAAGTAGGTGTGTTGAGGAAAGTGAAGTGGAATGAGAAGGCACATATTAAGGGGAGTGTATATATAGAGAAAATTGTGAATAGTAGTGTTTGACTTCAATTCAATCGGTACATAATTTTTGACTGCTATAATAGAACTTATATGTCAATATGACCGAGAGATACGAAACTAAACGAGTTGGCTCGACTCGACTCGTCTCGTCTTGTTAAGGCTTGAGTATGGTTCGACTCTAAATGAGTCGAGCTGCTTAAAACTCATTTCGTTAATGAGCAGGACTCCACCCGGCTCTGCTTGATACAACTAAAAAAGAGAACTTTTATATAATTTATTGTAGTTCAGCCAGTTAAAACTTGTGATATCGTATCCTTAAGATTCGAACTCGACTCGTTAACATTATTAAACGAGCCGACCTCGAACTCGATTTTTCGCTCATTTACTTAACGAGTTGAGTTGAGCTTGGCTCGCTCGTTTACAACTATATGTAGCAATAAACTTACTAGAGCATATAATTTCAATTACACATTTTTTTTTTGTGTGGTCATATCTAACGGTTTTGACTTTTTCTATAATAAAAATATTAATATCATGAAATATTGTTTAAGTTGGTTTTCCTATGGGGTATATTCAATTAAGATTCTTGGAGATTTTTTAAGACTTTTGAAATTTAGGAGTATTCAATTGAAACTGTTTGAGACTTTAAAAAAGTCTACCTATATTCAATTAAAATTTTCTAAGAGTCTCCAGAAGTTGTCCATTATTCTAGTTATCATGATTTTATGAGACTTTTAAAAGATAGTGATTATTGGAGACTTTTTTAAAAGTTGCATAATTTCATTTTCTGTTAAATTTTTTAGATAATTTATGTTCAAGCATTCCTGGTAAATTTGGAAAGGGGCTCTTCTTTTGTATTTACTGAAAAAGTATGGTTACTATTTTCGGGTCATTGAGTGAGTATGGTGTGTATCGCAAATTATTAATATGTTTTGTTGATTGGTTGATTATGTGTCGTAATTGATTCAAATTTTGTAGTTGATATTTCTACTAGTATAACACCCGTGTATTACACATGTGCTTCTTGTTAAAAAATTATTCTTAAATTTTAAAATTAATGAGAAAACTATATTAAATTTAGTTTACTTTTTTTACAAAAAAAATATATTACTATATATTTTAGAATGATATGTGTTACTTATGACTTACATGTGTTATATTATATTAGTTTTTATAACTTATATCATATAACTACTTGAAATATAAATATATTAGTTGATAAATAATTTTATTTTTCTAATTAATATTAAAAATAATTTTATTATTGTTATAAAGATAAATATAAATTATTTTTTTATACATACAATATGGATGTTAAATGGAAACTCATCAAAAAAAGATTAATTTGATATATTACATATGTAAAACTGATAAAAAATACAAAAGTTATTAATTTTTAAAATATATATACAATTCAATAGTTATAATAAGGAATGATATTAAAATGCAATTAATACATGTAACATGACCAAATAATCAACATATTTATGGTAATCCGAACCTAATTATTTTTGGTTTGGAATTAAATTAAAAGCCTAATAACGAAGCATGTAATTTTGTCACATAGGATTCCAAAGCAGCCACGTAGGCTCAGCGCGTTTTGGATTAATATATAGGGGGATAGTGCTAATTGGATTAGAACACTTATTTACGACCTACTAAATATTTTCATGCTTTTTATTTATCAAGTTCGTTTGTTATAATATTTTTCTTCCTGCCGCCATTCTAACTTAATGGACAATGTTTAATATCATAACATATTTTAAATTAATATTATAATTTTTTTAATTACTGATTTGACTTCATTGATATTAGTTATTATGCACATAATATTTTATGAGCATTTCATACAAATTTAATTATTGTACTAAGAATTATATAAAAGTTTTAGGAAGTTCAAAAAAGTTCACATTGAAAGTTTT